CATTTGACACCAACTTTGAATTTAACCGGAGATTAAATTTAACCGGAATTTTTGATCATGGATTAAATTATTTGGTGTAAAATGATAGTTTATGAAAATTGGTTTTCGTCTAAAATTAATCGTTTAGGTTTTACAGCCTGTCAAAGTTGCAAAAAAGTCAATTTTCAACTGTCAATATTTCGAAAACAGTTGACTCTAGGGTATATCACATCAAATCTGCTCAGAATTTTACGTAGAAACCAAATACATATTATTATGTAATTACATATCTTATTTAAAATAAGCAAGTTGACTCAACTTCCGGTATAACGGAAACTTGGCTCAATAATCGATTAGACGACAGCTCAATTAGTATAGCCGGATACAACCTATTCAGAAAAGACAGAGGCCTAGCAGGGGGTGGGACATGTATTTACATGTTCGTTCCAAACCCTTACTGTTGAATCTTTATGGATTGATGTAAGAATTGACAACCTAAATCTGTTATGTTGCATCTATAGAATAGATTACTCCACAAAGGAAACATATAGAAATGATTTCAGCCATAACAGAAGCGTGTTCTCTGGAAATTCCGGTATTTATCGTAGGAGACTTCAATTATCCCCAAATAAATTGGAAAAATTTGAGCTTATATAAATCAGACAAATCAAATCAACTTTTCTTAGAAAATTACCACTTAATGAAAGGTTGTAAACTTTCCAACTCGTTTCGGAAATGATCAAAAACCGTTACTTGATCTCATTCTGGTCAATGACAAAAAGCTAGTATTTGATATAAACCATGATGCACCAATAGGCTACAGTAACCATGTTGTAATCACAGCTCAATCACAGCTCAAAAGCAGAGATAGACCAACCCACAAAGTCACCAAAAAAAAATTTTGGAAAGCAGACTACAATGAAATTAACTTGTTTTTAAGCCAACAAGACTTTGATACAACACATCCATCAGGAAACAAATATGAGATGTTCACTAACATACTACAGCAGGCTATATCCAAATATGTCCCATTAATATCATTCAAAGTCAATCCAAAAAACCCTGGTTAAACAATTATCTATTCAATGAAATCAACAAAAAAAGGAGACTATGCAACATTTACAGAAATTCTCCAAGTGAACAAAACTACTCCGTTTATAGAATTCAAAACAACCAACTCAAAAACAGAATCCGGGAAGCACAGAGAAACTTTGAAAAAAAATTGCATTATCAAACGACAACATACAATTTTTCAAATATGTAAAACGCACTCTTAATACAAGAGTCTCCAAAATTACTTCAAAAGATCCGTCCACAGGAACTCCAATTACGGATGATTACGCAATAGAGTTTTCTCAAGAGACGATGATCTAGAGCTCCCAGAACTTCCTGAATCAACAAAATCCAACAACAGATTAACTTTGATCGTTTTTACCACTGACAGGGTTTCTGATGCCATTAACTAATTGAAGAAAGACGCCAGTCTTCGTCCTGATAACATTCCGGTAGTATTTCTTCAAAATTGCAACGAAGCAATAACCAAACTTCTAGCAGACGCCATGAATGAGAAAATGAAGAGTGGAAGACTACCAGACATATGGACACATGCTATTGCGGGTATTGCGGCTTCAGGGGCGAGGCTCTTCAATGGTTTGCCTCTTACCTTGGTGGACGCAGGCAGTCTGTGGTTGTTCCCGGCGCCAGGTCTTCAGCACTTGAGGTGCGTCATGGGGTCCCTCAGGGATCGGTGTTGGGTCCTTTGTTGTTTCTGGTCCATGTCAATGATCTGTCCTTGGTAAACATTACTGGGAGATTCACTTTTTTTGCAGACGACACATCTATTGTATGGCACGACAGAGATACTGATCAATTGAGGTACCGGATATCGGAGGATCTGGCAATGGTCAAAAGCTGGTGCAGTGCAAATCTCCTCTCTTTTAACGTCGCCAAAACTAGCCTTGTTTGTTTTAGGGGTGATGTCCGGGAAGTGAGGCTGGAGGGTGAGGATCTGCAGGCCAAATTAGAGAATAGGTTTTTGGGTGTTCATATTGACTCTGGCTTGAAATTTGAGTCCCATATCATGGGATTAAGCAGTAAGCTGTCCTCGGCATGTTTTGCCATAAGAACTACTAGATTTGAGCTTGGTTTGCTAGTAGCGCGGACAGTCTACTTTGCTCTTTTCGAAAGCCACCTACGCTATGGCATTCCATTCTGGGGTGTGGCTTCCCAGAATCTACTGAATATTATCTTTCTTCTGCAAAAAAAGGCTGTTCGTGCCATTGTTAATGTTGGTTACAGAGACTCATGCAGACCCCATTTTATTTCTCAAAAGATTCTTACTCTTACTGGTCTCTTCATTCTTGAAACTGCATCGATTATTTTTAAGAACCCAAGAAATGACCGTGATCCTGTTCGTGTACGCATCACTCGGCAAATTCATGACCTTCCATTGCCGGTTCCCTCAAGCGCACTGGTGCAAAGGTCAATTATTTATGAGGGAAGAAAAATATTCAACCACCTTCCCGTCGTGATCAGAAACGCGCGGGGCTTGAAGCATTTTAGAAAAATTCTCAAGACGTTTCTCATCGAAAAGGCCTACTACAGAACTGAGGAATATTTTAATGACACCATTTAGTGCTCTGGTGCTTTTTGTGGCTGATGGTGCTTGTATAATTTGCATATTTTTGTTTGTTTTTTTTTTTTAATGTTTTTTTTTTGTGTGTGTTTATTCGACGGTTTCTTACCTATTTATGACTTACCTATTTATTGTTATTCACCTAGAATTAGTCTGCTTTGTCCACAAAAATGTTTATTTTTTTTTGACAATAAAGCACATTTGATTTGATTTGATTTATTGTAACTCCACTTTACAAAAAGGGCGGTAAACAACTACCTTCTAACTATAGACCAATAAGTTTGACTTCCAATATTTGCAAATGTTTTGAGAAGGACAAAAGAATTAACCCCATTCCTCCTTGAAACTGGAGCCATAACAGACCATCAACATGGATTCCTTCTAAAAAAGTCGACCATTACCAACCTCACAATTTGTTTGAACACCTGGACACAAAGCTTTGATAGGAATAAACAAACCGACATCGTCTACTTAGATTTTGAGAAAGCATTCGACAAAGTGCCATTCAATAAAATGCTTCACAAGATAGACCACTATGGTATTGGTGGTAATCTATTTGGAATAATAGAATAAATGGAGTACTCTCTGGAGTACATGTGGCTCTCAGCGGGATAGCCCAAGCTACAGTGCTTGGTCCTTTGCTCTTTTCAGTTTATATCAACGACTTAGCAAGGCAAATAAAAACATGTATAATATTTTTTGCCGATGACGCTAAGCTGTTTGTAAACTCCAGAGAACTAAGTCTAAAGAGCTGCAAGAAGATCTTCATAGAATAGAGCAATGGTCGAAAACCTGGAGTATGAAATTAAATGAAGAGAAATGCACGGTACTCAGTATTGGAATAAACAACACAATTACACCCTATTCACTAAAAGCTACCAATCTAAATAACGTCGATCAACAGAGTGATTTTGGCGTCATCATCAGTCCAGACTTCAAATGGGAACGACATATTCATAGGATAGTGAAAAAAGCAAACTCGTTCATTTATTGGCATCCAAAAAGCATTTTCAGACCACTCAATGGACACCACACTGAAACTATATAAAACTTATATTAGACCAAAACTTGAATATGGCGAAACAATATGGAATGCTTACTTTGTAAAGGACATCGAGCTTTTCAAAGACATGTAACAAGAATACCACCAGAATTATCACAGTTAGACTCTATTAATATATATTTATTTTTTGACCTCAAAACAGTATAACTTATACTGGCTACAAGACTACTTTACGAGAAAGGCGTTTCAGAGGAGATCTTATTGAGACCTACTCTCAATATCTTCCATGCGAATGTAAATGTACACATTTGAGGACACAGGAAAAAACTGGAAAGGGAGAAGAACGCAAAACTACCCCGTAAAAACTTTTTGACAAACAGAATTGTCTATTATTGGAATGCATTATCGGCAAACACTGTGAGCGCTCCAAGTATTAACTCATTCAAAAACAGACTAGATAATCAACGGGAAGTGCTGACTAGTGTGAACACTCACTTCGGACTGTAAATAAACAAGCTGAATATTTTGAAAAGCTAAAAAAGAACCACGGAAATTAAAATAGCAGTTTCCTCGGGCATTTATTACCGCTTACTGTTGTAACTAATAATAATAATGATAATAATAATAATAATGTCAAAAAAATAATGAATTGATTTATTTCTAATGGCAATAAAACTTCTTTCTGAAAATTGTGAGTTTCAAAATTCTGATAAAACAGTTAGAGATGAAATTGTTTTAATTTCTAATGACAAGGAAACTCAAAATTAAATTATAAAGCAAGGTGAAATACCTCTAAGGGCCGGTATCATAAAGCTGGTTGACCGTTTTAAAAAATAAACAAAATTATGACAAAAAAGAACTAAAATCGGAAAAATCATACATAAAGAATAAAAGTGATGATGTAACTTATTGGAAGGATGATAAGTGAAAGCCAGCTGTAATTGTCAAAAAACATCCAGCTCCAAAGTCGGTCAGAATTAAAGACAATTTCAAGAATCAAACATAGGAATCACATTGACATTGAAAAATCGTACGATATGGGTAAACTAACTTATAGATTTCTTTATTCGATCAATATGTTTACAATTACAATTACAAATTGGTAGAGAACATTTTACCCAGTTACCAAAACTGTAAATAATCCTTCGCAGATATTAGTAGATAAGCTTGAAAATGAAAATTGTACAAATATACCAGTTGAAAATATTTCAAACCCTATACAAGAACAAAATAAAAATTCAACAGAATTACAATCATCTGTTAAGGTTTGGAAAAAAAAGTCAGGTAGAATTTTAGAAGAGATTGTTTCATTCTAAGACTAGATTCAGAGCACATTTTACCTATTCACTTGGCTCAACATCATACATTTTTCTACTCACTCACTTCAGGACTTAAAGCTGAGCCTTGCGGCAAAACGGCCATAGTCACGGGAATCCCCTGGCCAGAGGTAGTGAACACGTGCCGCACAACGACCGGCGGACTGGCTTGACGTTGCTGGAATGGCAATCCCGGCCTGACTTTCTGACCCAGCGTCTTCAGACCATTGTTGTTATCTAAAAACAATTTACACAAATCAAAAATAGGTATTATTACAGGTTCGAGAAATAAAAAAAATTATCATTACGTACACCTACTTGCAATCTGGAAATTTCCAGAAGCCGGCAACGGAGGCGTGAAAGTCTTATTGCCGCGTGAAGATGTCACCGAACTGTACTGGGTCTGCCGATTGTCGATTTTCTTGTTGTTATTGGTCGAGGCCAGCAAACTGGGCGGCGGTTTCAGTTGGCACTTGAGCTGATCCCTGTTGGGGCTGTTTTGTATTACCGCCTGGCAAATTTGGTAGCTGCGTTCCAAATTAACTGCGCCCGGCGGTGGTTTGTTGTTGTTTGTGCGATTACGATTATTACCTGCTAGAGGACATTAAATAGGAAAATTTGAGGATTTGGATTTTGTTTTTTTTTTGGTAAATTTAGCAGCAAATAATAAAAAAGTTACAAAAAAAAGATTTAAATTTTTAAAAAAGCACATTGACCATTACCTTTACCTATATTATTATTCTTTGGCTTGCTCTTGCTGTGGGTAGGAACTGCTCTGATTGGCTGACTAGTGCTCAGTGCCAAATAGGGCAGGGCGCTGGAGCTCTGCACTAAACCGGGCCTCGATATTGTCGGACCACATTGTACCGCTTCATTTACCTAACAAAATTGAGAAAATTTGAGCAATTCAGTTAATTGATATTAAAATTATAATTTTTACCGTTGGAATCTGAATAGGAGTCGTACTGACAATTGAAGGCAAACACACAATAGTAGTAGGTGGAATCACTGTGCTGACAGTTTTAGGCGTGACCGCAGAAGAAGTAGGTATCATATTAGCTTCGTTATTATTTGACGTGACCGTGCTGGTAATTAAAGCATCAGAACTGGCAATCTCCGGAGTCAGCGTGACTTCCAGCTCAAGTTTTACTTGATTGCCCTGGCTGAATTCTGGAAATATTGAGTGTTCTTTTATGGCTATTTTAGTGGGATCGTTTTCGGTAGGTCCTAGAGCTGCTTCGACCATTTCTGAATCCATTTTTACATCGTAGGGCCAGTCGTTTGGTACAGGAAACGTTCCTTGTTCTAGACGGACTTCAAGTTCTTCTTGCATTGGGATAACCTTAAAATAATTATTATTTTTAGGGTATTTACTCGGGTATTTACTTCTTATATACAAGTATATTATAGTTGGGATATTTCTGATATAAATATTGAGAGAAAACGCAGGAAAAATACAAGTTGAAGTTGAATTGACAATGAGAAGATCCCAAATATCTGTTTCATAAAATATTTCCATCTTATTGAAAGCAAACTTAAACCCCTAATTTATAACAAAAATCTAAATATAGCACTGTAAATCTGTACCCTGTATCTTGATTGTTCGTATTTTAATGATTCTGTTGTATGATGTATTTTTCAAGTTCAACAAAGACTATCATTGGTAAAGTACTTCTTGAGATATTTACAAAGAAAACGGTAAATAATCACCAGTAAAAAATACCAAAGACTCAAAAACTACTAGTAGTAGGTACTACTCAAAAAATTCTCTTCAAAACCCCAAAATCGGTCAAAATCAAAACAAAAAAAATTAAATTATTATGTAAACAACCTCTTCACTTACATACCTGGACATTTTCCACAGCCACAACCACATCGGTACCGTCAATATCATCCTGAATATGAACACTGTGAGTGCCCACTGGCACCGGCGAAGGTTCCAGTTCGTGCAAAGTAGGAACTTGCAATAAGTTTTCGGTACTGGAATCCACCAGGCCCCAGCAACACTCTTCGGCCACTGAAAAATTTTGCGGTCGTTAAAGTAACAAAACAAATTTTAAGTCTATAATTGTTGGGTGCCTAATCGGTTTTTGTAACCCGATATTCCCGAACGTGCTGTGATCGTTCTCGGTAATAATTTAAGATAGTAAAATTGTGTTGAGTATTGAGAAAATGTTTTTGTTTAGGCTACGAGAGGTCTTTTTTCGGTTTAGCTGACATTGGCACTATTGGCCTAATGTGTGGTCGAAGAGATTAAATTTTAACTCTTGATGAAAGAAAAATATGTCAACTTTGCACTTGAAAGTTCAATTTTACATATTTTGTTAAACATTTAAGACATGTGAATGGTTCTGACACTTAAATACATAGTTATTCAAAAAGTTCAGTCAGTGGCATAGAGATTCAGGACATTTGTCTGAGAAATTTTCCACAGTTTTCCTGAGATAGTTGTTTAGCAAGTTAAGACACTAGACATTGTTCACAAACCAGTCACAGCGTTTTTGATTGGTGCAAATCGCCAACAACCAGTTTTCTAGCTATTTTCAACCAATGAACTTCGCTCTGACTGGTTTGTGATTTCTGTGAGAACACACCTAAAGTATGACAATGTTGTAGAGCATAAAAATGAAAACATGAATCTTGAAACATCTCCCAAATCCGACTTGCCAAAAGAAATCACAGAATTTCCTCACACATCAGGGTTTAACAATTGCGATTCGCTACAATTTAGAAACTTCTCAGGGTTCAACTTTAATTTGCTTCTTTTCAGAGAAGCAGGAACGTTTGTCGGTCGAGTATTGAGAGCTATGGTAATATCCCTGGGAAAGACACAAAAAAAAAGTCGGGAATCCAAGGCAATAAGAACTTGAAAGGGAAAGGGGAAAGTAGAATAAATACAAGATAGTGCGAGAAGCACTGACGATAGCACATCTATCAGCATCAGAAATAAGTTTGTTGAGTGAAACCTTAACTGAAGATGTATCTGATTCAGATAAACACCCTAGTGAAATCAAAGAAATACCTATCCATTATTTTAGATCAATATTATGCAGTGTAGACATGCAATGGTATCTAAGGCTCAACAACTATTTATACCTAAAACAAAATTGGTGTGGGTGTGGACAACCATGAAAATAAAAGTTGCTAACTTTTGGAAGAGTTGCAAATACAGAAGATGCCGATTTTTCAGTGGAAACGTGTTTTTATAAGAGAAAAGACTATTTATTTTGATCATATCAATGCGAAGTTCAACAATTAGACATCGTTTTCGTAATAAAATCAGCTGGAAATCGGATGATTGTAGGAAATCATCGAGAAAATCAGGTAATCAATTGGGAATGGTATAGGAATCCCCAGAAAAAAATGGAAATCACCTGGTAATCATACAAAAATACCTGAAAATCATTGGCAATCAGTCGCAATTCTTGAGATGGGAATACATGAGATTCATTGATCAGTGATTGCCAAATATGGAAATCATTGTACATTTGTAAGCATAGTGGTTAACCCCTCAGATAAGTTTATTGAATTTAGACATTATCCTAAAAATATAAAAGAAAGTATACTTAAATATGTAGTAAGTTACGACCGAGCTTGAGACACTGGCCTAAAAGGCATTCAAGAAATTTTTGTCTGATAATTCTTGATACTTTGTCACAGTAGTTCAAGACAATTGTCCAATAGTGAATTTCGACACTTTATGCAAGACAGTTGTCTGATAACTTTATTAAATTTGACTTTAAAGACTTTCATAAAAAAATTAAGAAAACATGTAGATGAACTTCTATATTTAAAAACCTATAGTAGTTATAGTCTAGGTTATAGTTGTTCAGTAAGCTTAAGACACTGGTCTATACATTTAAGATGTTTGTCTGAGAAATGTATGCACTTCCTTTTAGTAGTTTGAGAAAATTTCCTATTGAAAAGTGTAATATATTTAGACATTTTCTTAAAAATATAGGTAAGAGAAAGTATAAATAGTAAGTTAAGACTGGAAGCAGGGTTGGCAAAAATCCAGCTTATTGGATAGAAAATTGGATTTTTGGTTTGAATTTTTGATGTTTTTGGTGGATATTTGTATACTTACCTACAACCTACCTATTTCTATATAATAAAACCTAACATTTTTGAACAAATATCTACAGAAGTATCGACCATTTGTAAGATTTCTGATAACTTCTAGAATATTCCAGCGTTTTGAAATTAAAACGCTTAATTGAAGGGCTCCGGAAGACTTTCAATTCAATTTTCAGTCCTTCTGCATTTGTTTGAGACAAATTAGAATCTTCAAAAACTTTGTAAAATGTTACAGAAGACACTAGAACCAAATTAGAATTTCACAAACATTCTAGAGCAAACCAGACGCTTCTAAACTTTTGGAAACATTTTAGAAAGCTTTTGGAACACTCAAGAACACCTAACAAATCATATGGACCTGTTGGAAACAATCTAGAACTGGACACTTTCAGAAACTATAGTCACATGGCATTTTAGAACTAATTTAAAACTTCCATGACATATTAGAACAGAAAGCGCTTAGGAATATCTAGGAGATTTTTGATAACTTCTAGAACATTCCAGCGCTTTAAAAGCATTGAACAAGCAAGCAACATTGAAAACTGTAGGAAACATTTGGAGGAGTTTCAGAATGTGCTTGTGCCAATTTAGACCATTTTTAAGTATTTTGAGACACTCTAGAGCACTTTAGAACAAATTTAGAACTATGTAAGCTTCAGCAGACTTTCAATTTAATTTTCAATCCTCCTACATTTGTTTGAGACAAATTGGAACTTGCAGGAACATTGTAAAACGCTACAGAACACTTTAGAATCAAATTAGGATTTCAGAAACATTCCCAGAACACTTCCGAACTTTCGGAAGCATACAAGAAAGCTTGAGACACTTCAAAGTTTATGTTTAAATCCAAGTTGAAATTATCAGGAGTATTTTGGAACGCTCTAGAACACTCAACAAAACATATCAAACTTTTGGAACCATCCAGAACTGCAAACTTTCAGAATATCTTGAAAATCGTTACATGACACTTTATTTGTTTATTTAATTATTCAATATCCTCTACATCTTGCATTTACAGAGAATGTCTAAAACTACAAACTACCCAACAACCCTAAAAGCCTAATCTACTTTATACCTCCTTAAATAAAATTATTTTACTTTGAAAATTATCACAATTTGTTTCATTGATTATATCACACATTCTAACTATAACTATAGATGAGGTAAACTGCCTATTTGTTCTTGGTGTATCATAAGTCAATATCTGTGACTGTCTAGTTGTCAAATCTGGTACTCTTATATTTATCAGGCTCAACAGATATTCATCTTTAACATGATAATGAAGAAGCTTATACAAAAATATTACGCTAAAATATTTTCTTCTTACATGTAACCTACTGTAACCATGTTGGATACACAACACATCAACTGGGTAAACCGAGGGGTAAACCTTAAAGTGTAATCTTTTCAAAAATTTCTTTTGACAATTTTCTATTGCATGGATTGACCTCTGATAAGATGGGTCCCATACAACTGATGCATATTCTAGCTTTGTCCAAGCTAGTGAATCATACAAATTTTGACTGTAGATATGCCTATATCTTTTGTGTTATGATAGATAAACCCTATAATCTTAAGTGCCTCGCCCACTATTTTGTCTATGTGGTCATTAAAGCTAATAAAACTGTCATATAAAACACCAAGGTCTCTTATTGAGTTTTCCTCTTTCAACTTAATATCGTTTAGAAAGTAATCATATTTTACTTGATTTTGTCTATTTTTTGTTGTAAATTTCATTGTAAAACACTTTGATACATTAACTGCTAACTTGTTATCCACAGACCATTGATACAATTTGCACAAATAATTTTGTATATTTTGACAATCATTGATATTTCTTATGCTTTTATATATTTTAATATCATCCACATAAATTAAAAATTTTGAATGCTCAACCATTTGCACTATGTTGTTTATAAATATAAAAAATAACAGAGGGCCCAAATTTGACCCTTGACCAGATGTAGACTTGTAGGGCTTTGACTTATAATTGTTATGAACAACAATTTGTTGACGTTTATGCAGAAAAAACCTAATCAGTCTAATTAAGACATATGGCAAATTCGCCTGTATTAATTTATCAATTAGTATTTTTCTATTGACTCTATAAAGCCTTTTCAAAATCCAGGTGAGCCACATGGACATCTCTCCAGGGAATCTGACATATATTGGGTGCAGGTTATCAGGTTTGTGGATGTTGATTTGCCTTGCATAAATGCATGCTGCTCTGATGCGAGGACATTTGAGCATTTTGAAAGAATACGAGTGTACAGGGTGCTGCAATTTGGAGTGTTTTAACAGGAAAACCACACTTCCAGACCAGATAGAGGAAAATTGGCTTAGATGTCATGAGATTGATTTTCGAGAAACGTCGATTGTCAAAAACCGTATCGCGATATCTGCAATGGTACCATTGATATAAGGCAATTTTCGATTTTCCCCTATTATGAAAAATGGCTATAAGTTTTTTATTTATCATTTTTTTTTGTTTCTGTAAAAACATTATGGAGACACTTTTTTGAGCACAATCCAGTGGCGGACTCAGTTTTTTTCTATATCGTTCCGATTTCGAGATATCGACCAAATTCCTATATTTTCAAATGAAACACCCTATATTTTAATAGCTCATTGGATAGCTTTGTTTTTGCTGATTTCAATGATATAAAGTTCGATAGGTTTATCTCTAACAGTTTTTGAGAGAAAAAATTATATCTGTTTCAGTCATAAGAAACAATGTGTTAGAAAGAGACCTTCCTCATTCTCCTTACACATATAAAATCCTTTTCTAACCCATTGGTCCTTATGACAAAAACAGATATAATTTTTTTTCTCGAAAACTGTTACAGATAAACCTATCGAACTTTATATCATTGAAATCAGCAAAAACAAAGCTATCCAATGAGCTATTAATATATAGGGTATTTCATTTGAAAATATCGGAATTTGGTCGATATCTCGAAATCGGAACGATATAGAAAAAAACTGAGACCGCCACTGGATTGTGCTTAAAAAAGTGTCTCCATAATGTTTTTACAGAAACGAAAAAAATTGATAAACAAAAAACTTATAGCCATTTTTCATGATAGGGGAAAATCGAAAATCGCCCTGTATTAATGGTAACATTGAAGATATCGCGATACGGTTTTTGACAATCGACGTTTCTCGTAAATCAATCCCATGACATCTAAGTCAATTTTCCTCTATCTGGTCTGGAAGTATGTTTTTCCTGTTAAAACACTCCAAATTGCAGCACCCTGTACAACACTGATTCAAACACTTTTGAAAAGTTGGGCAATATACTTATTGCTCTATAATTCTCTATATCACACTTATTGCCCTTTTTAAAGATTGGACAAACCTTGCTTAATTTCCAAATTTCAAGATATTTTACTTCTTTTATGCATAAGTTGAATATTGCATTGAGTATTGGCGCGAAAATAAACTTGCAGTCTTTTACTACAAACGCTGGAACGGGAATGTTATCTAGTCCCATAGTTTGTTTTGGTTTTAAATTACTTAAAGCATTCATGACTTCTTGTACACTTACTCCAAAACCAGAGTCTAACAAGTGAGTCATACAGAGTGTTTCAATGCTCTCATCGCTGTCAGCTGGTGCATATACACTTTTGAAAAAAAAGCAAACATTTCAGCAATATTTGAGTTATTGACATGGCTGCTGTTGTACACCATGTTGCCTGGTATACATGAGCAGTTTCTTTTGCTGTTGATTAATTTGAAAAAGTTTGAATTGTTCTCTATTATACTTCCCTCCAACTCGTTAATGTAAACTTGCTTGGCCTGTTCAATCTTTACTTTCAGAGCATCTCTTATATTATACTATAATCAGTCTGACAATTTATAATACCCGTTTGTAAAAATAGCCGCCTATTTCTATTTTTGGCATTAATATCACAGATTATCTCCTTATTGAACCATGGTGGATATTTATTGACCCTAAAAATTATCTTAGGAACAGTCATATCAAATATTTCATAAATCCTACCATATAAAAAAGATATAGCCTCATCTGCTTCACCATACCGATAAAGAATATTCCAATCCACCTCCAGCAAAACTATTAGAACTAACTTAAAACTTTCATGAACATATTAGAACACTCTAAAACATGTTCAGACGTTAGAATTTCAATTAGAAGTATCAAAGAGCGTTTAAGAATATTCGGGAAATTTCTGATAGGTTCTAGAACATTCCGGCATTTCAACAACATTAGTTATGGTTTTCAGAATTTTATTTCAAATTCCTCTTGTGTACAATATTCTGGTAGGATTTTTCCTCGGATTTTTCCGTGGATATTTGTGTTAATTCATATGGATATATCCAAAAACCAAAATTGTTTGCACTGTTTGCCAACCCTGACTGGAAGACAGAAGTTAAGATACGGGTCCAGACATTTAAGACATTCGTCTGAGACTTTCTTAGTAGTTCAAGAAAATTGTCTAGTAAATTCAGACACTTTATGCAAAACTTGTCTGATAAGTTTAATGAATTTAGGTATTTGGTTAAAAATATAAGGGAAAGTATGAATAAGTACTAAAGTACCATCGTCACCAAAAGTATCTGGGACACAAATAATGCATAATAATCTCCTGGACTAATTCTACTGTCATTCATTTCAATGCATTTAATGCATAGTTTGACAAATATTTGACAATAAAATTCATCTAATAGGACAAGAGCTAATGTGATGCTGTCCCAGTTACTTTTGGTGACGATGGTACCTATAGACACTGGCCTAGAAGACATCTAGGACATTTTTGTCTAATAAATCTTGACACTTTCTCAGTAGTTTAAGCAATCATCTATTAAATTCCTACACTTTATGCAAGAAAGTTGTCTGTTAAGCTTAATGAATATGAGTAAATACTTTTTGAAAAATGTAATACATGCAATAAGTTTAGCACTTAAATACCCGAGATAGTATTATCTGACTCAGACACTGGCTAGACATTCAAGACATTCGTCTTTACAAAATTTACACGTTTTCTTGAAAAATTTGGAAAGTGTTTAATTATTTAATGAATTTGATATTGTTAAGGTTACATTTGGATTTGCAAAAAAGTATGCAACTTGTAGATTCATAGAAATGACCTGATAAAATTCATACCCACATATTTAAAAAAAAAAACTGTGGCATCTTACCTGTCTTGACATCTTCCCCAAACAAAGCAGCTTGTATATCGACCTCTTCCTTCTTCTCAATCTCGATAATCTTCTCGCTGGTGGACACAGTGATCTGGCCGGACTCCAAAACGTAATTTTCCGCATCGATGAACCGATCTTCCCCATCGTCATCGTCGTGAATAATTTTGGCAGTGGCAAAAGTGACCAAATCAGCCTCTTCAACACTGGCTTCCAGTTTTTCTGCAGTGACATCGATGAATTCTTGCGACTTATCCAAAACCAAAGATTCTTGCTGGATTATAAGCGTGTTGGGCAGCATTTGAAATGTTTCTTGTATTTGTTGCTCGATTTTCTCTTCTGTATCAAGCTCGGGATTGTCTAAATTTGATGTTTCATAGACAACATTATCTGAATTTGAGGAATTTTCCATAAGGCTCTCAGGCTGTGGTTGAAAATTACTTGCAATGATTTCTAGAGCGCTTTCACTATTTTCGCTCACCAGGTGAGTGTCCATTGAAGTTTCAATACTAGATTCTTCAATTACTTGTGTATTACTAGTTTCTTCTAGGCTAGATAAAGCGCTAGTTTCTTGCGATTGTGAACTAACACTATTCATATTGCTAGTTTCAGCTTCACAAGTAACGTGTTCTGATATATCTGGCATGGACGTCATAGTTTCATCTTGGTCCTGAGTCAATTCAGACTCGTGTTCGTTTGTATTGGTGCTAGTAGCTGATGTACTTGACGAATTATCATCTATTTGACTAATTTCATTTATTTCTTCACCCATATTGTAATTTATGTGTAATTGTAATGAATCTACAGTTTCAATAGCTCCACTACTTGAAATTTCTTCTAGATTATGAGTTGGCATACTACAAGAACTACTACTATTTTCATCTTCTTTTTCATATAAATCGCCCATTTCTGATGTACGTTCGCTGACTTTATCATCGTCACTAGCTACCTCTGAGGTTAAATCTAAAGGATCTTTAAGATCCATGGGTTCTGGTGATAGAGGACTCATTGATTTATTACGTTTAGGTGAGTTACCTTCTGACCCGTCAGAACTTGGCGATCTAGGCCTTTTTTCTGACTCATTTTCTCTACATATAATGATTGTCTCTTGATTAGTCTCTAAAATAGCTTCACTTAAATTAACTATATTACAATTTTCACTATTACTAGAAGATTCTTTATTAATTATTTCTTCAGTAGCTTTTTCTGGTATAAATACTTCTTCAGACTTTTGTTGTTGTTGTTGAACATCTTCAGTTTGTACTTTATTTTTAGTCTGTTTTACAATAGGCAATAAATCAGGTATAGATTTATTATTATCATTTGCAGGTTTCAAAATTTCTTCTTTCAATATTGTACAAGACCTTGTCATTGCTCCAACAGTTCTAACTCTTTTAACAGGAGGTGGTGGAGGTGCTTTACTTTTAGTTGTAGCAGATGTAGTTGAAGGTCTTAATTTTATTGTGGTTTTTAATGGGGGTCGATGAATTTTTGACGTACTACTGCCTGAAGAATCACCATTATCTGCTAAACTTCTATCCCCCCATATTGGTTCAAAATGTTTCAACTTCCATGGGTCTAATTTGCTTCGTTCTTTGTCAGCTTCCGATTTTAATTTTTGTTGGTTTTCTGGTGTGAATTCGCCTTCTGCTAAACGATCTTGCCATTCCAAACAAGCTCTAGCAAAAAATTCGTTATTCAATCCAGAGCTGATTTCTATACAAGTATTCTCTGAGGAATTATTAGCCAATTGTCTGTCAACCAATGGTAAAAGTTGAGCTAATTTATTTTGATATAAAACAGGCAAAGAAGCAAAAGTTCCTTTGTTTAATAATAATCTTAAGTTGGTATTTACTAAAATTGAATCTGGTGTTTCTAAATCTATACAGCCCTCTTTTGTTTGTTCCAGCTGGGCGGCTGTGGATAATTTTTTGTTAGTCCTTTTACGGGTTTTCAAGTTAAAACCTGGAATCGAGGCTAGGACTTCTTTCATTGTTGGGGTTCTGTTTATTTGAGGTTCTGTCGTTGAGGTTTCTGTAGGTAATTTAACAATAATTCTCGGTAGTGCTGACGACGTAGACGGACTACTAATTGAGGCTAAATTTGTATTCTTCTTTCTACGTTTAGCTTGTTGTCGTAATGCATGCTTTATCGTCTTTTTGCTATTGATAATCGGCAGCGATTCTTTATTATCAACTGTGGTACTATCAAGGTCGTTGCTAGTGATACTAACAACAGTATCAACTAAGGTATGGTTTTGTACAGGTTCTTCTTCAACTCGGCACAATCCGAATGGGTTTATTTCTTGATTAGCATCAGGAGTAACGTCTATTTCCATCACGTAACCGCCCGTAGTGGATTTGCTACCCCAAAACCCTCCTGCATGCAATTTTTTTGGTAAATCGGTGCACAATGACTTCGTTTTACATTGAAAACATTCACCCCATATTAGGGGTGCAATTGGTCCAGGTCACATAGAAAACAAAGGGTATCATGGTACAGAGACAGGGGCATTTAAATTGTCTAGACTTTAAAGGTTTTCGTGTAGTTTTTTATCAACACTATTCACAAAGATTTTTTAACAATAATAAATACACCATCATCCGCCATTTCATAACCGAGCCTGATGTAAACAGGAAAAACAGGGATAGCTATCGTTTTTTTTTCCTGGATTGATTTGTACTTTTGACAAAGGCGAACGCGAACGTTTTTTGTTGGATTGGCAACATTTTTCTTTGACATTTATTTTGGTGTCACTGGTTGAGGGTTTTCTTTTTTCTCCTCCTTCGTCTCCAAGCTCCGGAGCAATTGGATCGGAAACATTCGGAGTTACTCCGAAAAAGAACACCTTTTCAAATCCAAGTGCTCCATGTTTGACATTGCTCGTTTTTTCTTCACGAACTATTTCCACTGACCTACTATTCCGCGTTCTCTTAAGTTTTTCGGAGCTGTTCGTTCGAAAACAATCCGATTATTTGCCAAAAAAAACGCCTTTTCAAATCTAAATGCTCCATGTTTTATGTTCGTTTTTCAGGATTTCTATGAAAACTCGGAACTCTCTTTTCTCACTATTGATTGTTCTCTCTTCAATTTCGTAGCGATTTGGAACAAATTCAAGATAGAGTGAATAGACTCGCATAAAACCGCACTATATAACGAACATAATCACGAACCATACCACGTTCTTCTCAGTCACTAGCTCCGGAGCTATTCGTTCGGAGTCAATCCGCTTATCTGCCAAAAAAAAACGCTTTTTCAAATCCAAGTGCTCCATGTTTCAGGAGTTCTATTGCACTGCAAACAATTTAGGAACAAAAAACGAAAACTCGGAACTCTCTATAAGCTCCGGAACTATTCTTTCGAAAATTCGAAGTCATTCCGAGTGTTTCCCAAAGACAACGTCTCTTTAAATCCAAATGCTCCATTTTCACATTAATGGGTTTCTCTTCAGTTAAAATATAGAATAGCTTTTTCCGCGATTCACATTTCGGAACGATTCCTTCCGCAGCACTTTGGAACAGATTCAAGATAGAAAGAATAGACCCGCATCATAAAACTGCACACGGACTATACCGCGTTCTTTTACACTAGCTCCGGAGCTATTCGTTTGGAGTCGATCCGAATATCTCCCAAAAAGAAAGTTTTTTTAAATCCAAGTCCTCCATTTTGATATTGTTTGTCAGTTTGTTTGTTTTCTCTTCTTCGCAATAGTTGTATTCCTTCCATACCTAGGAGGAGCTCCGGAACAGCTCCGGAGCTTCACGCGCTTATCGCGGATCACATTTCGATTCCAAGAACTTACACAAGGTTATCCAAATAAAAAAAAAGATACAAGGCGGCCAAGGATAAAACACTACTACAGCAGTGGAATTGCTTGTCGGCCTTGTTTTTGGTAATCGCAGTCATATGGTGTTGTAGCAAGAATCGTAAACTCTACAGGATTGCTCAATCGGCTAAATTTGTTCACAATTGCTGTGACGTCACGCGCATGCCGGATTTTCAAGATGGCCGCTGATACGAATGATGTTTAGTTTGTGCTGACAACTATTTTATCGTAAATTCGGATTTATCTAGTGTTATAAGTGTAAATTTAAAGTTTCATTTAATGTGTGTAAACATAAAAGGCTCGTGGCTGAAAATACTCGCGAAAACCCCAAGCATTTTCTGGTTTTATAATACTGGATTTGTTGTATCAGGACATCGCTCTTTTATTTGTGTGTATTGCTAGTTAGTATTTCCTAGTCAAGTATTTGTTTTGCTTTTTTTTATAAATCAAATATCTACTTAGTTGTAAGTTTCCTTTGCATGTAATTACAAATAAAAATTAGGGTTTGTGAAGAGTGAATAAATAAATATGTAAATAAATTCCTTTACTGGCGCGTTTACTATGAAAACGCATGGAAAATATGGGAAACTTGCAATGTTTTTCTGGAATATGATTATGAGAATCTAAATTAGGTATCACTATTTGGCTTTGTGAAATAAGCTCACTTTGAATGTCTATATTAAATCGTTCTAGTACCTATTAAATTAATGAATAATAATTGAGAAGTACCTAGGTAGGGTCAGTAAAAAATAAAGCACACTATTGCAACCCCGTTTCGCTTATATTTTGATATTGAAATGCAAAAATTAAACCGGCTCGGCACCCCACATTTGGTTTTCTACTGTTTCTCAACTCTGTAGTCAATTGTGCCCGTTTTGTGCTCAATTGTGCCAGTATTTATGCGAATTGTGCTCATTTTCATACACAAAAAAAACATTGAAACGAATCCGGGGGCCAGCTTGACTCCAGCCCTTCGTTTTTTTGACTTTTTGGCAATATGTTTGGCTAATTGATAAACAAAAGCAAACAAACTCGTCTTTCTAATTAGCAATTAGCCAACCACTCAAGCCTCAAGGACACAAGCTTTTGAAGTCTGCTAATTTTAAAATCAATAAATTAATTACAAAATACAGTTTTCAAAGGAAATAACCTCAAAATAACAATTTTTCACGTTTGAAAATGCAAGGATAGTGCACTGTCATAAAAAACACAAACCGATCAAGGACTGCGTGACGTCATTCGCATACCGCCATCTTCGATGTTTTTATGAACGTTTGTCTTATGGGATTGAGCAATCCTGTAGAGTTTACGATTCTTGGTGTTGTAGCATCATTGCAGACGCCATTAACTACGTCAGAATTTCAATTCATGATAAAAAATATTATTTAATTTTGATTAACATAGGTAATACGCAAAGAAAGGAAGATGCAAATGAGATCTAAAAAAACGTTATTTTAGAATGGTAATTGATGAACTGAAGGGCCTAATTACATATAAAGTCTGTTTTTTTTTAAAGATAATTCCCCAAGTCAAAAATTTAGTAACTATGTTGGCAACACAAGAGTCCTTTTCAGGTGGTCCGGCTTAAACTAACCGGGTTACAAAACGGTTAGTAGCGGTATGTCAAGTATGATATACCGTTTTCTAACCCGGTCACAAAGTGAAGTGATCGATATCACTCGAATTTGAGCGGTATGTTGCGGTTTATTTTGACTTTTATCTTAAAAAAAAAACAGATTTTAGTTGTATTCCTTTCAAGAGTTTGAAACACTCGAGCTACTCGCTCCGGTGTTTAGTAGCCCCCGATTTGCAGGGAACAGATGCGTGGTACGACAAACATTTTTCGAAAGGAATAAGCGCGTGAAGCCCCGGAGCTGTTCCGGAGCTCCTCCTAAATGTGAAAGGAATACAACTAATATATGCATCTACAAATTGGCAGTTCTGCAAATATGGCCGACTCACTTATGTGCTCTAGCAGAGCCAAAATTCAGTTAAGAAGAAGACTTACGGGACCGTTTCACCATGCGCAAATTTGCAGGCGAGTTGCAAATGTATTCTGCTTCTGTAATACGAAAAGTCAGACTTGCAGGTCCTGCATTTGTATCTTGGTGTTGCAGAGCTTTTGTAATTCTGGGCTAGAACGACTAAAACCAAATATGCCAGCAAAACCACAGCTTAAAACCTAAAAACCCGCGGAATCATAACCTGTGACGAAACGCTGGCTACGTTATCACTGGTTCTTTGGCGTGGTAGGGTAGGGGGCTTGAGATTTGATCTACACAGGCCTTAATTATGAGGATAAGCTATCCTGTAGTAGTAGTGTATACTAGGCAATTTTTCGCGAGGATAACCAAGCATAATCCGAATATGCTAGGTTGTGTGATGTGTCATACTGGTCATTGGTCATACTTCCCTAACTCCCTCTCCATTAAATTCTGGGCCTGCGAGTGACGTCACTATCAGCAGCTTATAGTGATGACGGCACCCGCAGACCGCGATGTAATGCTTGCCATTCAGACTGTGCTAGTAAATTAAAAAGGCTTTTAAATTGAAAAGGTCAATATGACCTTTTCAATTTAAAAGCCTCTCTCTCTGGCGTCAAACTGTCAGACGCCAAATGAGTATGAAAACAATGGTTGACAGCCGCTGAGAGTGGTTTGTTGACAAGACTTTTGTACATGTGAAAACTGGAAACTATTATTTCCTCGGTTTTTCCAAAGTTTTTTCCTAACAATGGTGATTGTGTAGTGTGCCTTTTTGTAAAAATAGTTCCTATTTACCGGCGGACGTGTCTTTCCATAAGTTTCCATCAAATCCTACATTCGTCAAATTTTGGATACATAAAATCAGAAACAATACTCGCAAAAAAAAGGGAAATCCACGGCCTATCAAGTACCTAGACAAAGTAATCCACGTTCAAGTTTAGTTTGCGGGAGCTGTTTGCTTCCAAAATAATCCACCGCTTTCTCCATAGCGAAGTTCTGCAAATGAAGAAGTGACTTTTCCCACATATTCTTTCAAAACACCCAATACACACTGACTATTGACTCATTGACAAGCAAGCAAATGTTGGCGGGAAAATGATTGTTTTCATACTTTATTGTCCATCTCTTTTAATTGAAAACGTCAATTAAGGCTATGGTCCGAATATAACCAAAAGTAACCGAATTGGTTGACAAGTGGTTACTGAAAATTCTGGTTACTTAGGGAACGCGAACTTCTATTTGTAATTTTTTTCTGTATGGAATAAAAAATAATTGACAGAAACCATTCAAATCGACATCCGATGGCCGGTAACTATTCTCATTTGGTTAACCAGATTTCAGGAAACCGAGGTCTAAAAGTAACAACTTTTCCAGGAACCAGAATAATTTGATTACTTTCGGACCACAAAACCATAACGCTGGTTATATTCGGACCATAGCCTAAAGCCTAGTACTCATAACTGCGAAATTCGCATTTTTTGATTTTGCTTCGACAATTTGACGTTTGATACACGCATTAAACGTCAAATTGTCAAAGCAATGTCAAAAAAGTGCGAATTTCGCAGTTATGAGTACTAGGCTTAAGGCCGGATTTTCATGCATCCGTTTTCCGACGAAATATGTCCGAAAAAATCTTCTATTTTGACATATTTTTATACGATTATGTCAGAATAGAATGTTTTTGGACATCTTTCGTCGGACAAACGGATGCATGAAAATCCACCCTTAGTGTTCTTGATCCTCAAGTATCCCAGAATTTGATGTTGGGGGAGTTAGGGGAGTATGACACAATTAACACATCACATAATCCAGCATAAGATTAGGCTTAGGCTTGATCATCCTCGGGAAAAATTGCATGAAAACCTGCTTGTTTGCTTCAAAAAATGCGGGTTGTTCAGTCGGAAATATTTAACTTTATTAAACGTTCTTTGTTCTTTTCACTCTAGGATACGTAACAAAAAAAAACACCCCATGTGCACCTATTGGTTATTGACCTATTGTAAGCATATTATTACCCTTAGATCATATTTAATTTATTCTTTAGGAATTAAATATATATGATCTAAGATATTACCCACTATTACAGATTGCTCATCATCGACCCCGATTTTTGGACTCAAGATCATATGGTGTTGCACCTTTGACGACGTCATCAACGATGTCGTTAGCTGTTCGCCCAGTCTAGTGATCGTAAGTTTTTAGAATCAAGAACGACGATAAACCACAGAGGATGGTCACATCAGGTCTATGCATCGGCGATCTTTTTCCGCCAGTTCAGCGCAAGCACGCGCTGCTGTAGTGACGTCACCTGGCCCACTCGAAACAAGTTTAATGCGTTATTAGTATAGGAGGATAATATGGTTGTGTTATTGATATGATTATGTTATTGTATCTTTTAATGCAATAAATTTTTACTAATGCTATATTAAACTTCTCGAATTTTCATTACAGAGCAATGTCGAGCAATGTAACTGTAACTAATAGCAAATCTTTGGATTGACTGGGCCGGAGTACGTCACGCGCCCGGTCAATTATTTACCTTTGTGGTCGACTAGAATTGGCGAACATGACGCTTACGAGAACCACTATCCTCTTGTGGTTTATCGTTCTTGATTTGGAATATAAGAAACGACTTTGCGTCAATCAAATGATTCCGGATGAGATAGAGTTAGTAAGGGCAGAAAATCTATTGGATCTCCCGGATCTTTCACTCTAACCCTGAGTGATATAGTGCTAGTAAGGGCAGAAAATCTCATGGATTTCTACCGTGTTCTCGCTCTAATGATGTCCGCAAATATACGTATCGAGTAGATAGGCAAAGGGCCGTTCCAAACCGGCAAACCTTCTCACTACTTCATTGGGAGAGGCGTGTACAAGAGAAAAGAAACTCATCGAAACCTTTCTTATGAATACCGTTTATTCCGAGCGGGACCCGAAAAACAAAACTTCAACGGTCGCAAAACACGCTAGTCTTCAAAATGTTTGCGAAAAGTTTAAGTTTGGTTTCTATGGTTTTGTTTTATTATTCGACACGAGCTTGTGTTTTGTGTTCGTTTATTGGAAAACTTTGCCTTTTGTTACTCCGGAAGTTTCACCTCGGAAAATGGAACTTATCGAGCATCCTTGCTTATCGATCGAGTACCTATTATTTATTCACAATCTGTAGTCCAAAGGTACAGGTAAAATTTATCATCTTTCAATGCTATTCAATAGGGAAAGGTGATAAATTTAACTGTACCTTTGTACTACAGATTGTGAATAGGATATACATACATAAATATACTCTTTCCTTTCTTAATGCACGAACGCAAATAATTTTACTCGGTCTACTTCGAAAAAAACCAATCCCCGAACCAGTGGTGTATAAAACAGTCAAATAGAGCTAAACTGGCAGCTTATCCAGATGAAAAAAAGGAACACAAAAATGTATTTCTTGTAGATATAAAATTAAAAATTTATTTTCATGGCAATAGTCACAAACTAAATAAACTAGAATTTGTGCATACGAAACATTTTTGATAATGCTTACAAAATACAAATGACGATATTGATGATGTGCTACACGTTTCCTGTAGAATGGGCCGGTTTCCAAGTGTTCCTTGGAGTACACTTTACGACGGGTTCTCTGGCAGTCTGCCCCAATCCAGATATCGAAGCACGAGCCTCTCTGACCGGTTGATCTTTTTCGTAGCGCAACAGTTTTTGATGGATCGACTTTTTGTTTAAGAGTTCTTGGTTTAGTTTTATTTCCAATTCTCGTTTTATTTTCTGCAAAAAAAAAGAAACAGAATATAGGGCATGGTATAGTATAAGGTCTACCATACCTCTAAGGCTTCAGAATCTTTATTTATTCGACTTGCAGGCAATGATGGTTTCCTGTCTTTTTCTAAACTTTTACGGAACGCGTACAGTTTGTCTTTCTCTGCTTTCAATGCATCCGACATTTGAGCAACTAAAACACAGAGATTATAAACCTCAAACTATTGTTAAAGTGATGTGTGCTCACTTTTCTGTTGAGCCTGTTTTTGTTTCTTCATCAAATCCCCTTCTAGTTCTGCGATTCTTCTGAGCAACGACAGCCGGTCTCCGGCTTCGGCAGGCCGTAAAACTCCGGTTCGCCGACCCATTTTTTCCAGAATATTCGCCTGAGCTTCGCTGAGATTTTTATGGATGAACTGGAGCTCTTCAATGGACAAGCCCTGATGGATGATTATTAGAACAATTAGATAAAGTAACCATTGAAGATACCAGAATATGGAGACAGATTTACAATTCCTTACCCCAAATCCAGTCCTAGCAGCTTTCTTCAACAATTCTTCCACAGTATAACCGCAAGGGCAGTACGGACGCTTTTTACCATAGAAATTCAACTCTTGATCGGACAAGGGTACTGTCAAGGCAATAACATCGGGTCCAACCAGCGACACCGTTTCGAACGTCGTCAATGTTAATTTGTCGTGTTTGAGTTTACGTTCTGTTGATGCTTTCCTTGGCTGTATCACAGCGATTGTCGAGCTGCTTTTTTCAAAATGCTATAATTATACAGACGTTAATGAGATCTCGAGAATTAAATTTGCTTGAATATGAATTGGAAAATTGAACTTTAGATGAGATTATCAAAACTTCTTTGTTCTTATTTATTTTGAATTTACCTAGAAATTTTTCAGTGAATTCCAAGATTCAAAACTTACCTCGACAGCTGCTCTAGTCGACATTTCTAGTTCCAAAGATTTGGAATCTTCGATCAATTTCTCGTTTTCTTCCGTTAAGCTTTTAGCTCGTTCTTCGATGACTTCTTTGATTTTTTCCGTGTCTCGTAATTTTTCCGCTAAATCGTCTTTTTCTTTTTGCGCCTCCACTGATTTTTTCCGCTCTTTTATTACTTGTTGTTCCAGCACCGCTGCTACATCTTGCAAATCGCTGTGTTTCTTTTCCATCAGTTTACTCTTTTTCCGTTCTTTCGTTATCACTTTTTCTACTTCTTCGACTTTTGTTTTAATTTCGATGCTCTTTCGCTTTTGATCTTCGAGCAAACTCCTCAACCTGTCTTTCTCTTTGGTGATATTTTCCAATGCTTCTCGCATTTTTGCCAGAGCGTTTCGTAGATCTTCAATTTCTTTGTCCTGTTTGTTGTTCAGGTCAGACACGTAGTCGCCATGGGCTTTTTGTAGTTTGTCGATGTTTTCTTCGTGTTTCTTCGAAAGATTTTTCATGTCCCTGTCGAACTGAAGTTTCAGCGAGGCTATAGTGTCTTCGCATTCTTTCTTTTGCTTTTTCAATTCCTCTTCGAGGCGTTTGATTTGTTCTTGGTAGGTTTTCAGGCGACTCTCATAGTCTTTCTCTGAAAAAAAGGAAAACAGATTCGTTTTTTATAATTTGTGAATACAAAAACTAACCAGCAAAATCATTATTATATCCAACATCGTAACATCAATGTTATAGTTTAGTGCCAAATCTGGCTTTTGATTTTTTTAAAATTATTCTGTGGGTATTTTTGAAAGAGGGTACTTGAGGCAAGGAATAATGCCAGACTAGTAATGAAGAGGATCCTACTGAAGATAATAACAGGAAATTCAGACTTCAGACAACCAAGTTAATATAACACTAACCTCAATTGAAGAGTTTTTAAAAACAATCTAGAATTGAAAATCAAAAAAATCACCTGGGAAAGATAACTTTACATCTGAAATATTTAAAAAAATTACTTAGTGAAGATATTATACAACCTCTAACATCCTAGCCTAGAAGAGGCAGTTATTAGACCATCACATAAGTCTGGAGATGGCAACTATAGACCAATTGCACTAATCAGTAATATTTCTAAAGTTTCCAAGAAAATACCAATCTACTAAAAAAGGGAATAACAAAACATCTAGAGAATAGTTCTATTCTGATTTTCAATATGAATTCAGAAAGGGAAGGTCAACAGAAGATGCATTGGCGGACTTCATTTCAAAAATAAATAATTCAGTAGATAAAAATATCCCAACCATTTCCATTTATGTTGACCTTGCCAAAGCGTTTGACACGTTTTCTCATCGTATTTGGCTAAGCAAATTAAAAAATCTGGGGCTTTTATGGAAAAGACTTTAGAATAATGGAAAGTTACCTGATAAATAGACCACAATGGGTTGACATAAATGGAGCCCTTAGCCATTAGTCATAACCTGCGCTATCCGGAACTGTCCCTCGGTTCTATCTTATTATATTTTAATGTTTTTTACAGGGTTGATGGTAGGGCCGAATTGACAAGCTTCGCGGATGATGCCGCAGTTCGATACTAAGCCACAACTTTCGAAAAACTTTTGACCCTGATAAATCAGGATTTCCCGAAATACTGTTTCAATAATTTACCTACTAATATCAACTTTACGAAAACCTACTCCATATGTCATTTAGCAGCTATTCCAACACTTTACCTGGAGCTTAATTGACACCCTGGTAGCAGAAGCTCATTAAGAAACTTTAACGTCACATAAAAATAGCTTCTAAAAATAGTACAACAAAACGAACATTATTTGTGACATAAGAATAATACAAAAATAAAATTCCAATACGAAACATAGACCACCGACATAACACAAGATTTAGACAAAACGCCGTTACAAAACGGCGAGTGAAAAAGACAATAGGACAGAGATGTTTTACATACTTCAGTGCTGGTCTCATCATTAGGTACCTACTGATAAGAACTTCAGTCAGTAGTCACTAGCAATTTTTAAAAAATCCATCGGAAAAGAACCATTTCTAGAGTTGAAATATACAATATACTAATGGATGGATTACGAACTTACAAATTATTTTCAGTGCCTTTTTTTATATTGTTTAATCTCGGATTTATTCTTCTTGGTTCTTGGGCAACTGTTCTTGGACTCTTAATATCTTTTACCTACGAGCGTGCGGTAAAGTGCACTTTACCGCACGTGTTTGCAAATGGAAAGTAGCACATTACTGCACACTATGCGGTAAAGGTAACTTTACAGCATAGTGTGCGGTAAAGTGAACTTTACAGCATAGTATGCGGTAAAGTGGACTACAAAGTGTGCGGTAAAGTGCACTTTACCGCATAGTGTGCGGTTAAGTAGAATTTGATATTTATAATTAAAAATCCTTTTTTTTCCAGAAAATGGATTTTTGATAATTTCTAAATCTAATCTAATTTCATTCATTAATCTGATTCAATAATTAATTTTATCAATGCCCTTTTTTGGAGATGTAGATGCTCATAGGTAAAATTTTGTACCTAACACATGCGGAAAGTGCCTTTACCGCCCTTAACGGTAAAGTATCACTTTCCGCATTTGTTAGGTAAATAACTATTATCCTATCTTTTTACTATCTTAAGGAAACACACTGTAAGCATAATGTGTTAAAAATAGGTACTTAGTTTAGTTATAGTATTAGGGGATGCTCTTGATTTAAACACGAAAAAGTGTAATGTGTAATTTCCCACGCGCGAGACTTTCCCTTGTTATACTTGGTATTTATTGTTAATACTGATGATGGTGGAAATCAGAAAATGCATTCAACTCGAAGGGTACGCAGTACTGCTAAGCATATTTTCATACACACCTGAGACTGTTTATAACAAAAACGAATTGATTATTATGCAATAATATCTAGGCACACTTAAAGCCCATGATTTAAATCAACAATGAATCTTTGCAAAGATTTCTTATAGCCTCTCCTTTTTGTATCTCCTTTTGGTATCTTGTTGTTAATGTATGGGTCCAACTTAGAGAAAGAAGATTTGAAAAATTCAGTACGATGTAGTGGTATTTCAAGAGTGTCTATGTTCCTTGTTGACCTGGTATGAATGTCACCAATGAGCATTTCACTGTTAGTAATGTAAGGAGTAACATGTTCTCACATATTTATGTGAAATATATATCGTATACACAATTGTTCTGAATCTTTTGCAAGACTAGCGACTCTGTTAACATGATTTTAGTAGATATAGTATATGGGAAGAAAATGTTTTAATTCATACAATTTCTATAAAGCAAAATATGTTTTCTGACAAATTGCACTAACTTAACGCAGGATCTAGCAACAGACCTAGACTCTTCACTTCCCTTTCCCATTCAATATTGTGCCCCAACACCTGCACGCAGCTCAAATTTCTTGCATTTAGGTATATTCCTTCCAAACGAAATAACCTTAGTTTTTGATGGATTTACAACTAATGCATTCTTCTGTGCCCACTCAGTAACCTGAATAAGATCATCAATAATTTTTCCCAAAGCTAAATCCTCGAAAAATGACAGACATTCTTAAATTTCACCACAATAGGCATGCAAAGAACTATTCACACCACACACACGTCCAGGAATGGACCCGTATGGCACCCAAGATCGTATCTGTCTTGGATCTGATCATACCTGAGATGTTGATTCGCGTCAGCTGGTAACGCTTATAGATAATCACGAAACCATGGGAGTCTAATGATCAAAGTTTAAATATTTGAGCTTAGCTAAGAGAAGTTAGTGATTTATTGAGTCGAAAGCCCTTCTCATGTTCAGTAAGACCAGGGCAGTCCACTGTCCATTGTCAAATGCTTGCGATAACAATGTCATTGACTATTATGAGTAGAGCAGTAGTGCAGCTATACTTTGGGCGAAATCCGGACTGAAAAGGCAACAAAGTGTCAGTTTGACATAGTTCGAAGCAGTTGGCAGTATCCTGATTGGCCTGAGATCTGTGATTGTTGGATTTGTTTTTTTTTTGGGAGATATCGTATTAGAGCAATTTTCCATAGGTCTGGAACTTTGCCCTGTCCTAAAGATAAATTTATAATGTTCACAATGGATTTAGGCAATGTGGCAAATACAGCTTTCGGCATTACTTTATATCGATAACAAATGTTTCTTAACTGTGTCAGCCAGTGGCGAGGCGTGACCAGTAGTCTGGGGGGGGGGTAAATGGTACGGGGGGCTGAGGGGGCGCCGTCCAAAAACGCGCCGTAGGCGAAATTTTTCGCAAATTTCAAGGTCATTCACTTTTCCAGAACAATTATTTCATTTGTGAAAAAAATAAAACAAAACAAACATGTTTTTTCTTCAATATATTATGTATTTTCTTTTTGGCATCGTGATTTTTCTCTTGATAATGATGGGGGGGGGGTAATTAACCCCAGTACCCCCCCCCCCGACGCGACGCCCCTGTGTCAGCATCGATCAAGGAAAAGGAAAATGGTTCACTGCTTTGTTCAAATTTTGTATTCAAGTTGGAGTAGGCTATGAGTTCATTACAAGCTTGAACATGTGGAATCGAATCTATGAAGGTGTTGTTTTATAAATCAGGGTCATCTAAATCTACAGGCAAAGCAAATTATGTTCGCTAGATAGATAGATAGGTATATGACATTATACAGTGTGCGCCATAAAGTTGGGTACATATGGGAAAATTCTTAACTATTCCTTTTTTCAAAAAACTTTGTACAAAGGTCTGGCAATGGTCAAATAATTTCCACAATGGCTTAAAATTTTGATTACGAAATTAAATTGGGCATCAATAATAACTCCTCTGCAAAAAATTTCGTAATTCTATTTCAAGCCGCTCTTGAAATATTTGACCGTTCCCAGACTTTTGAAACATACTGGTATAACTGCACTTTGAATATAAGCATGATTGAGGTAGATTGGGACATCTAGTCGGTGGTACATGGTACATATGGACACTTGTAACAAACTGGCCTAAAAGTCCTTTTTCTTTTTGCTTCGTAATACAATTAATTCGATTTTTTACCAGTTAGATTAAATTGCCAAATTTCTGATGAAACCGTAACCAAGAGCCAAGGGTTCTCGGTTGGTTTTCAAAAAAGTACGATGATTATGTCTTAAAAACACGACTCTTGACCCCTGGTTCCTTGGAAAAAGTCGCCTGACTTGAAACTGATAAACTAAAAGCGTCACCAATTTCGCTAAATAAAAGACGCCTTACGTCGCCCTGGACTCATTCAGTTCTGGTCACAGATTCTGGTGCTTACAGTGTGAAGTCGTTCGTTATAGTTACAAAGCAGGTGAGGTTTCAGTTTCCACATATTTCCCATTGTCAATTTATTATCTCATTTACTGTATGTTTTTTCTACTTATTGTCAAATCGTCAAACTATTTTTCTATCTTATTTTCACGTATTGTCAATTACCAACTTATTTGCTCATAAATCCTTTGTAATGACTTTCAGTCATTTTGACTGCATTTTCGCTACTTTTCCTATCCTCATTGTATAAACAGTTCAATTGATTCGTTCACTGTTAAAACCATGATATCTAACAAGGCCGATTTGTACTACCCTGTCGAGGATGTTTCCTAGCATTAATTGTAGATTATAACTAGCATA